CCCTCTTTCTTCCCTCCTTTCCTCCCCCTCCTCCCTTCCTTCCATTTTGTCTTTTTTCCCTTCTCTTTCCTGCCTCCCTCCATTCCCTTCCCCCTTTTGTCCTTCCTTCCTTCTGTCTTTCCTCCCTCCCTTCCACCTCCACTCCCCCCTCTCTTCTACATTCCTACTCCTTCTCTTCCTCCTTCTCCTCCTTCATGTGGGCCTGGGACTTGGTTCTGGGGCCCAGGGCGTGTGTTCCTCCCTTGACCTGGGTCCCAAGGCCGGCCTGGCTGTGTCCACTTGAGCCCCGTGTCCCGTGCCAAGTGTGTTGACTGACCCCTCCACCCGTGACCTCCCCTGCCCTTTCCCCTCTGACCTTGGACCCGCTGGTGTACCTCTCGGCGCCCTCGACCTTGGCCACGAGCGGGACGCCCCGATGGAAGAACGACCCCGGGGAGCGGAGGGGCTTCGGGCGGTGGGCGCACCACAAGGCAGGACGGACACCTGGGGGGAGGCAAGGGGGGGGCAAAGGTCAGGCAGGGTCATCGGGTCAGCCCCCTCCCCAGGGGAGCCCCTCCCTCCCTCCCTCCCTCCCTCCTGCCTTCCTTGCTCACTCACCTGGGTCCCTTCCGTCCCGGAGGTCCCCATTGCGGCCGGCCAGCTCTTCTTCCTCTTCCTCCGAGTCCAGCTCCAGGGCCTCCCGGTCGGAGGAGAAGGGGCCCTCGGGGGTCAGCATGGCCGGGCTGCAAGGAGGAAGAAGAATGAGAAGAGGAGGAAGAAGAGGAAGAGGAAGAAGGAGAGAAGAAAAGAGGGGGAAGAAGGAAGAAGAGGAAGAGTAGGAGAAGAAGGGAAGAAGAGGAAGGAGGAAGAAGAGGAAAGAGAAGGGAAGAAGAAGGAGGAAGAGGAGGAAGAGGAGAGAGGAGGAGGAAGAGGAAGAAGAGGAAGGGGAAGAAGGGAGAAGAAGAGGAAGAGGAGGAAGAATAGAAAAAGGAGGAAGAGGAAGAAGAAGGAAGAAGAGGAGAAAGAGGAGGAAAGAGGAAGGGAGGAGAAGAGGAGGAAAAAGGGAAGGAAAAGGAGGAGGAAGAGAGGGAGGAGGGGAGGAAGAGGAGGGAGAGAGGAGGAGAAGGAGAAGAAGAGAGGAAAAGAGAAGGAAGAGGAGAGGGAAGAAGAGAAGGGGAAGAAGAGGAGGAAGGGAAGGAGAAGAGAGAGGAGGAGGAAGGAGGAGAAAGAAGAGGAGGGATAAGAAGAGGAGGAAGAGGAGGAGGAAGAAGAGGAGGAGGAAAGGAAAGTAGAAGGGGAAGAGCAAGAGGAAAAAGAAAAGAAGTGAAGAAAGAAGAGGAAGAGGAGGAGGAAGAAGAGGAGGAAGAAAAGGTGGAAGAAAAGAAGTAACAAGAGGGAGAAGAGGAGGAAGAAGAGGAGGATGAAGAGTAGGAAGGAGAGGAGGAAGGCCACCCCCCCTGTACTTCAAGAGGTCACTGTCCCGCTGACCCTCAGCTCTGGACGCAGGAGTCCTGGCCGTTCTCTACCTGTAAGCGGTCAGTTTCCAAGCAGCCAAGGTAGCGATGCCCAGGCTGGACTTCCTCCTCCTGAGCCCTGCCCAGGGCAAAGGGGAGGGCCGGTCTCGGGAGGACCAACACACTGACCGTTGGAGCTGGACAGACCCGTTTGAGGTCAAAGGCCAGCCCTCCAGGGCACTTCTGGGCCACGCTTTTGGCCAAAACAACCTCCAAAGTGTGACTTCCTGGCGTGAAAGTGTTGCTTCCTGTTCAATTGTGCAGCACGCATTTGGGAAGGAGCTCTTCTGCTGCTCCAGAAACGTGGTTTTCGTGGCAAAGACCACGTTGAGTGGGTTGAGACCTTGCAAAACGACTGCAATCAGAGCCAGAGCAGACAGAGATCCTTCCCACAAAGACAACATCCGTGCAGATTCATAGACTTTCCCCCATGTTTTGGTGGTAGAACCAATTAGGAAATAACAACCCGGGAACAAAAAACATAGTGTTACACAGGGTAATATAGGATAATATATATGATAATAAGTACAATAAACATCATAGTGTTACATAGTGTAGTATATGATAATAAATATGATAATTATATAATAACAATTATATTGTAATTATTATAATTATAATTTTAATAATACAGTATAATCATAAATATTGTGCTTGCTCCATCCATGTTCAGCATTTCCACAAATGACCAGCCACTGCCAGAAGGGACAGAGAGTTTCATCTATGCTGATGATTGTGCCATCACCACCCTAGCAGGGAGCTTTCAAATGGTTGAACAGAAGCTCTATCCGAAGGTCTAGGTGCTCTTACTGCCAATTACAGGGAAAACCAGCTGATCCCTAATCCATCTAAAACACAGACATGTGCCTTTCACCTCAAGGACAGAGAAGCATCCCGAGCTCTGAGGATGATTACCTGGGAAGGAAGGAATCCCACTGGAGCATTGCAGCACACCCAAAGACCTGGGAGTCACTCTGGACCGTGCTCTGACCTACAAGAAGCACTGCCTGAACATCAAGCAAAAAGTGGGTGCTAAAAATAATATCATACAAAACCTGACTGGCATAACCTAGGGATCACAACCAGATACAGTGAAGACATCTGCCCTTGCGCTGTGCTACTCTGCTGCTGAGTACGCATGCCCAGTGTGGAACACATCTCACCACGCTAAAACTGTGGATGTGGCTCTTAATGAGACATGCCGCATTATCACGGGGTGTCTGCGCCCTACACCACTGGAGAAATTACACTGCTTAGCCGGTATTGCACCACCTGACATCCGCCGGGAAGTAGCAGCCAATAGTGAAAGGACCAAGGCAGAGACATCTCCAGCTCATCCCCTGTTTGGCTATCAGCCAGCACGTCAATGACTTAAATCTAGAAATAGTTTTCTAAGATCTACAGAGACACTCGCTGGAACACCTCAGCAAGCGAGAGTCCAAAAGTGGCAGGCTCAAACCCAGAACCTCAACCAATGGCTGATACCAGATGAGAGACTCCCTCCTGGGCACACAGAGGACTGGGCGACTTGGAAGGCGCTGAACAGACCGCGCTCTGGCACCACGAGATGCAGAGCCAACCTCAAGAAATGGGGCCACAAAGTGGAATCCTCGACATGCGAGTGCGGAGAAGAGCAAACCACTGACCACCTGCTGCCATGCACCCTGAGCCCTGCCACATGATGCACAAGGGAGGACCTTCTTGCGGCAACACCAGAGGCACTCCAAGGGGCCAGGGACTGGTCAAAGGACATTTAACCAACTACCAAGTTTGCAAAATCTGTGTTTTTTTGGTTTTTTTTTAAATCTGTGTGTTTGTTTTGTTCTGTTAGAAATGCAATACAATGGTATGTTTGCTGATGACACGATAAATAAGTCATAAATATAATAATATATTACTAAATACAATAATAAATATAATACTCATAGTGTTACATAGTGTAATATATGATATTAAAAATGATAATAATATGATAACTATTATAGTATATTATAATAATAAATATAATAATAATAATATGACAATAAATATAATAATCATAGTGTTACGTAGTGTAATATATGATATTAAAAATGATAATAATATGATAACTAATATAGTATATTATAATAATAAATATAATAATGATATGTTATTAAATACAATAATAAATATAATAATCATAGTGTTACATAGTGTAATATATGATAATAAATATGGTAATAAGTACAATAAAATCATAGTGTTACATAGTGTAATATATGGTAATAAATATGATAATAATATTATAACAATTATATTATAATTATTATAACTATAATTTTAATAATACAGTATAATAAATGTAATAATATACTAATAAATATGTTAATAAATATAATAATCATAGTGTTACATGGTGTAATATATGATAATAAATATGATAATAATATAATAATTATTATATTAAATTATAATTGTTATAAATATAATTTTAATAATACAGTATAATCATAAATATAATAATATGTTACTAAATATGATGATAAATATAATAATCATAGTGTTACATAGTGCAATATATGATAATAAATATGATAATAATATAATAACTATTATAGTATATTATAATAATAAATGCAATAATAACATGTTACTAAATATGATAATAAATATAATAATCATTGTGTTACATAGTGTAATATAAAATAATAAATATGATAATAATGTAATAACGATTATATTATATTATAATTATTATAATTAAAATTTTAATAATACAGTATAATAATAAATATAATAATATGCTAATAAATGTGCTAATAAATATAACAACCATAGTGATACATAGTGTAATATATGATAACAAATATGAAATTAAAATTAAAATTATAATAATTATAATATAATTGTTGTTATATTATTAACAACAATTATATTATAATTATTATAATTTTAATTTTAATAATATAGTATAATCATAAATGTAATAATAATTATCTATATATATAAATTTGTTAGGGGCATCCAACGAGGAAACAAAACTCAAAAACCCCCCAACGAAACTTAACCAAAATTCCCATGCCCATAACACAACCCACAAGGTACAAACATATCTACTCAAAATGAAAAACAACACAACAACACACTCACAAACGGCAAAACAACTGAGCATGCGCATTGGCACCCAGCCGCAAGTTCCCTGGCACGCGCACATGGCCTGGCGGCCAATGTTCCCTCCGCGCAAGCCACGCCCCCATCCTCACGCCGCGCCGCTTCCCGCCCTGTCAAAACCATCGCAACTCACCCCCCCCTCCCCCCGCCGCCCACACACACACGCAACCCCACCTCCCCCCGCCGCCGCACACACACACGCAACCCCCACACTCCATCACTCCCCCCGCCGCCGCACACACACGCAACCCCACTCCCCCCGCCGCCGCACACACACGCAACCCCACACTCCATCACTCCCCCCGCCGCCACACGCACACACGCAACCCCACTCCCCCTGCTGCCGCACACACACACGCAACCCCACACTCCATCACTCCCCCACCCCAATCTTACCTCCTTTTACTTCACGCCACCTCCAAACCCCACCCCCCCCCTTCCCGCCCTGTCAAAATCTAGGAAAGACAGGAAGGAAGGAAAGAAGGAAGAAAGAGAAAGGGAAGTAAAGAAAAAGGGGGAAGGAAGGAAAGTTAGAGAAAGAAGGAAGAAGAAAAGGAAAGAAAAGGAAAGATGGAAGGAAAGAAAAGAGAGACAGCAGAAAAGAAAGAAAAAGGGGGAAGGAAAGAAAGAGATAGAGAAAGAAGAGGAGAAGGAAAGATGGGAGGGAAGGAAGGAAGGAAGGAAGGAAGAGGGAAAGGAGAGAAAGAGGGAAGATTGGCCACAGCAACACGTGGCGGGTAAAGGTTGTTATTTCTATTATTATTATGCTATTATTCCTATGAGACCCTTTTAGGGGGAATGGGAGAGGTGTCAGGTCCCAGAGGCAATGCATTGCATTATTGTTATTGTTATGATGGTGGTGAAATAAAAGGAAATAAAAAGTGAAAGAAGGAAGCAAACAGGGAGGGAAGAAGGCAAAGGAAGAAAGGGGAGGGAATGAAGGAAAGAGAGAAGGATGAAACCAAGGAGTGAAAGAAAGAGGTAGAGAAGGAAGAAAGGAGAGATACAAATACACTTCTTCCAAGCTGCAAGCTTTCTTCTCCTTGGATTTTTTTGAGAGCATCCCAATTCCTACATATTTCCAATTTCCTATTCCTGGACTGC